ACCGGTATGTTTTTAATAAAATATATGAAAATCTTACAATGCGACCTATTTCAAAGACTACACATAAAATTAAATTTCTTTTGTGACCATACTTGGCTCCAGGGTTATGTTCAGAAATAACCAGAAGCCAAATTTGAATCAAAGTGATTTATAATGTTTAAGAAATATGTTTACAAATAACAAATACAGCAAAATAAACTTTACGCAATAAGCATCATTGCACCAATACTAAATACACACAAACACAGGTCAAGAATAAGGCCATCTTTAAAATAATTAATGCTCGTTTAATGCAAATAAACAATTTAATAAACAAATAATGCTTCTGCAGACTCAGGGTAAAATTATTTGTAAAATCCCTATTCCAGGATAAAAAAAATTTCACGTCATGGAATGTAAAAAAAGTTTTGAGACGGGCCATTTTAGTCAGTCGGTCGGGAGAGGGCAACCAAACATTTTTTTTAAGATGTTCTAATCTAAATATTGCATGTATTTTTACTAGTAAAGTAGTATGATAGAATCAATATTCTAAAGAAGAAAAAAATTCTTTTTACAAAGTCAAACAACAAAAGTTTAACTTTTATGTAATAAAATATTTTTATGTTGCAATAAAACCACTAACGACTCTCCATAGATTATTTTCCCTTATGTATCACACATCTAGGAGAAGTTAACACAACATTTAGACATATATAAAATTCTCAAATCTTATATATACAAATCTTATATCTACAATAAATAGGTGAAATATAATATGTTTACAAATTGAATTATTAATTTTATTATGCTTGTTTAAAAGAAAAGAGGTTCATTTACAGTGGTTAAAATTGTACCCTTGTTACATATGGTAGCCCACACATATTTTTTTTTTCAAAATAGTAAATAATTATTTCTAAACAAGACACCTTTTGGCTTTATATATTTTCTAGAGTTTTTATATGTTAGTTAGAATACAATTTACTAATTATAAATTAAGAAAAAATTCTGTTGCAATTTGTTTGAGGTTTATGACAGTTTGACTGGACTATGTTTCCAGAATTTTTTATATTGTAAATTAATTGATTCACTGTATAGTATTAAATGAATAATTTAATCTCATGTGCTCATGTAACAAAGAAAGACTAATTGAAATAGCATCGACCTGAATTTGTGTTACATATGTCGTATAAAGTCTGAGCTGCATTTAATCAAAGTTTTAGCGTAGGATCGATATCTAAACAGAAACACGAAATAGATACAATAATTTCCTAGCGTATTCCTCGTTAATTAACGGAAGACATTAATTTCTGACAGGTGTTATTTATGTTTTTAAAATCCTTTCAGTGTAAGCACATGTATTTATTTTTATAAGTTATTCTTTTTTGTAAAAAATAATATGGTTTGAGAGAGAGAGAGAGAGAGAGAGAGAGAGAGAGAGAGAGAGAGAGAGAGAGAGAGAGAGAGAGAGAGAGAGAGAGAGAGGAAGAGAGAAAGACTCATGAAACCCCGTGTAACTGACATACATGTACATCTGTGAAAAAATATATGTACCGTAATTATATTGAATTCATGATTAATAAGTCTAATAATTTTTAATTTCCACAACTTTGGTTCATATTCAACTGTTCAACCCATTTACACAATCGTTCTCTGTACCTGTACGCAGAGCATCACCTCAGTGTCAATCAAATTCGCATGAAAGTTGATTTGAAACATTCTTTTGGTCAGTTCTGAGTTCAAGTGTGTAACACACTAAACTGACATCCAGCGATATTCATCTTCCACAGTTTATACTGCGGTAAAGTTATATAAGGGAAATGTAGTATTGTATGTGCCAAGGAGCTGGTACTGAAATAAGTAGCTTTTTCAACTTTGGGCAAGGTTTTTCTTTGCTTGTCAACTTTTCCAGGTAAGATTGATTGATTGATTATATATAGTTTAACGTCCGTCTTCAGAATGTTTCACTGATATGGAGACGTCACCATTGCCGGTGAAGGGCTGGAAATTAAGGCCTATGCTCGGCACTTACGGCCTTTGAGCAGGGAAGGATCTTTATCCTACCGCACCTGCTGTGACACGGGGCCTCGGTTTATACGGTCTCATCCGAAGAACCGTCCCATTTAGTCGCCTTTTACGACAAGCAAGGGGTACTAAGGACCTATTCTAAACCGGATCCCCAAGGGGCAAACAAAAAAAGAACTGCGAACGATAGTATTGTTCTCCCGCCTACCTCCACGCCAATTTTCAAACGTTAACATATTCGATGAATTTTTAATATTTTTTATAAATAATTATACAAAATTTCATAAAACATTACTTATTTGGGAAAACAAAGAGAGATAACTCTAAAATTTTGGTAGTACTTGTGTTTTTTACTATAGAAATCAATGGAAAACGGAAAATATTTTTAAAACATCTTTCCCCCCAGTGTCACAAAAATTCCTTTTTACAGGTTATATGGAATGGTATTTCACAAATCCATACTAAATCTTTTTGTGTGACACTGGGGGGAACATATGTTTATTTACAAAAAACGATAAAAATGCTTATTTTCCACCAATTTCAAAGTGATATACAACTGAAACACTATATTTTATTGAAATATTTATGTTTTATTCATTTGTCTAAAACATAAGAAAAGATATATGGACCATTTAATCATATCCAAAACTATTTCAAAATACAGTGATGCTTGAAACTCCAATTTTAATGGAAAAAATCGTCTACCCCCCTTTTTTCAAGAGCTGGAATTATGGATAATTTACTGTTTAGCGGTGGTATTAAGACGATTTATCAATTACCATTAAACTGTTCTTTGTATTAAACAAAGATTTTATGACCAAATTGCTATTCATATTGAATTAAATGGTTCCAAAATGTAGGCGGGAATCGAGAGTTAGCGTGCGTGTTTCTTTGTTTGGCTGCCCCTTCTAAATACGATGCTACGTGCATGGCTAATTCGTATAGCTTTCTAGAAAGGGGGGGGGGGGGCTAACAGACCCTTTATAAAATCGCTTATTATCTAAAAAGACTGCAAACCATTTCCTTCTTTTAAATTTTTTAAATGCAGCGTGTAAGTTGATCACTATTTTGTTGGATGATCGTAATTCGTAGTCCGCGGAAGTTATGCTAGTGTAGAAGAGTTCCGATTTTTAGGAGAGATAACTCACTTTTGAAAATGGGGAATAATGGGGATTTAAGAAGTTCAATGCGATAGATTATCGACCAAATTACCTTGCTAAAAGTTATTTTGATTCTAGATAAGAATACGCTTCATTAATATTCAAATATGCTGGAGTTCTTCATTGACAACTCTCATGTAATATGGAAAATATCTTCCAACGAATTGTTGGAATTTAAACCAATTGTGTCCGTATAAAACCGACCTGTTTTTTTTAAATATATTAACGAATCCTTGTTTTAAAAATGAACTATTGTAAAAAAAAAAAAATGCTATGCCTTGATATATCCCAGTAAATTCAAAATTAAATACATTAAAATTAAGCAGGTAAAACTCCTATTGCATTTTTGTCATACAGTAAAATAACTATTTTCATGGGGATTAATTTTCGTTGTTTCGATTTTTTTTTTTGAGAGACCAACAAATGTATGACTACTACGAAATGTAAAACGTCATATGCATTACATATTTTATATTCTGCGACCATGAAATTAAATCCCCACAAACCAAAATTTATTCCTCAAACCTTATAAATTATACCCTACGAAAATATGTGATTTTTCAGTATTCACAAATTCTATGGCGGTTATGGTTACACTATCTACACGTATATATAAAGCCTAGCTTCGGGTATCTTTGAATTTTTTTTCCTAGTTTATAATTCTAATATCATAGCAAAAGTACAACAATAATCAAAATTCGTTGAAAGTATGTTCTTTTCCTTCAAATGAATACCAAGTACCTTTCTCGCGAAAATAAGATTTTGCGAAAATTTGATAATCTACAGTATAAAATAAAATAAATTCATTATTATAGAAACATTTTATTCGTGGGTTCAATGATCGTGGGGGAAGCAAAATTGTACTCATTCATGGTGAATCAATTTCCTTTCTACAGTAAATTCAATGAATCAATATGTTTAACTTTCGGGTCGTGTGAACGTTCGGTTCGTGTAAATTATCAAGAAAGGACCACTAACGAATTCCACGGACATTGGTCCCCCACGAACAGTGATGATTCCAATGTTATCTGTACATCTGATTGCAATATAGAGGTATAATGATAGGTGTGACCTCTTAACAAGGGATTTTAATTCACCGTAGGCATCTCTTCTCACCTAGTGTTTTCAGGGGTACTTAATTTTGCCTTCTGTGCGATTCATTTTTTTACGGATATTTGAGGGAGTCATTACATCTGAGGCAGTTGTGATTTTTACATGTGTCAACTTTTTTTTAAAATTTTAATCATCATATTTCAAATTTATAATGGTGTCTTTCACTAATTAACAATTTTCAATTGCCAATGACTAATTGGCAATTGAAAATTGTTAATTAGTGAAAGACAATGGTTTATTGAAGATGACATATCAGTGGAGAAAATTTCCTTTATACACTGTTGATGCCTGTCCTGACAACAAAGCAAAATGGGATGCAGCTTCAAAGAGGTTGAACTGTACAATGAATTCAAAAGACTTCAAAAATAGATATCATTGTATGGCAACACGAGAACGAACACGATTGGTTGAGTTTTGTTATCCACTAACAAGGAGCATATTTGGAAAAGGTTTTCATCTTCAATATGATAAATAAAGATCTGTGCATTTTCCAAAGTATTATGAAAAAAATATTGAATTAACGTAAAAACATGATAACTTGTGAATATCAATAAATTTTTAACACGTATAATGCCTAAAACAGATTATTACTCAACGAATATTTTTAGAAAAAGGTGGTTTCACAATCAGGGTTACTATGCTTTTTGAATTCATTATGTCTTCATTTGCGATGCTATGTCTTTTATAATTGTAGGACAATGTATTATTTTTGATGCCTCCTTTGCTTTGGACAATTATACCTGTCTTCACTTCAATGATGGATGCCCGGATTCACATTATTATACAGATCATTTTTACAAATGTGAGTCTGTTATATATTTATCTTACGATTTCTCAAAATGTACTCGTATGGTATTCTTTCATTCATTTTGATCACTGTTTTAGAGTGAACTCTTGCACACTATTTTAAAGCAGTTCCCAAAACATTCTGAAACTCTTTTGAAGTGAGGATTGTTTGTTTTACCGAATTTCGGCTATTGTGTCAGAGTTTATTGTGAGAATGTACAGTGTTTTAGTGTAATATTGCCAGTTTGGGTGGGGTGGGGGTGGGGGCTCGCTATAGGGGGGGGGGGTACTCATCTTGATTATCGCCTTTGACGTTTTTAGCTCACCTGAGCTAAAACTGAGGGTCAAATTATGACCCCCGGGGGAAGGGCGGGGCCACAATGGGGAATCAAAATTTTACATAGAAATATATAGGAAAAATCTTTGAAAATCTTCTTCTCAAGAACCACTGGGCCAGAAAAGCTGAAACTTATGTGGAAGCATCCTTGTATAGTGTAAATTCTCAATTGTTCAAATCATGACCCCCGGGGGAAGGGCGGGGCCACAATGGGGAATCAAAATTTTATATAAGAAATATATAGGAAAAATCTTTCAAAATCTTCTTCTCAAGAACCACTGGGCCAGAAAAGCTGAAACTTATGTGGAAGCATCCTGGGGTAGTGTAGATTTTAAATTGTTCAAACCATGACCTCCGGGGGAAGGGAGGGGCCACAATGGGGAATCAAAGTTTTACATAGAAATATATAGGAAAAATCTTTCAAAATCTTCTTCTCGAGAACCACTGTGCCAGAAAAGTTGAAACATGTGCACATGGGAGGAACCTGGGGTAGTGTAGATTTCAAAATGTCTAAATTATGACCAGTGGGGTAGGGTGGGGATGCATTATGTATTGCAAGGAGGAAATCTGGTAAAGAACAGAATGGTCAAAGCTTCTCAGGTGAGTGATGTGGCCCATGGGCCTCTTGTTATTTAAATAGATTGATAATTTTTTTTCTGAACCGATTTATCTGACCTTTTATTGAAATTTTGCAACTATTATATCTTAAACAATTGCATCATAGATAATTATATATTAATCAAATAATAAAACTTATCTCTGTCATACAGTAATTCTATTAACATTAAGATAAAAGATTATAACATTAATATCTATTTTATTTTTCAGATCCCAGTTGTTTTCAGATTGACCCAAACTCAAAATGCTTCTTATCCGATTTATTGTGCATCAAAAAGAATCGGTAATCCCCTAATAAACATTTTTTTTTACTTAAGTGAATATTGAAACTGACTTAACAAATTTAAGCGTCTTCTTTCTTTTTCAGCATTACTACAGTGTTATATGAGGATTTAACGAACCGAAATCCGACGACAGATACACAGACTAGGTTAAATTTAGTTTTCGTCTTAGTAACTTCTGCTATCCTTTTAAGCATACTAGTTGGAATTATCATATATGTAAGAATCAAGTTATGCTTCAAAAAAGAGCGACAAGATCTGGAGAAAAATTAGGAAGCTATGAACCTATTGCCTAAAACATCCAGCCCTCCCAATGTCCTGTATGTCACGACGGTGGAGAAGGAAAACGAGAGAAATATGGGTAAAAATACAGTTTCTACATATTTGCATATTTTACATAATACTTTTGATAGCATATGTATCCAATTTTCTTTTGATGTGATATTATTTGTCTTTTACGGTAATTATTCAAAAATAGAAAGTAATTTTTCGGACCCACAAGAAAAGGTAATACTCAAGAAATGCAGAAAGCATTTAGTTGGAAATTCAAACGGAAGTACTTTTTTTCATCCTTACATTTATATGAAAAATGCTTATTTTTCCAAAAGAAATGATTGAAAAAAGTCTCAGCTGACTTTGGTTATAAAGCTAAAATACTGCATTTCCTATAGGAAATAGTATTGGTTAGAACTCACTTAAATATGGTTCTGTCTTTTGATCAGAAAACCAGTTTTTCACACGAATAAAGACCTGTCTTTGCTGTTTAAACGTGTTTTTGCTGTAGTAAGTTTTTTGGAGAGTTGCTTATATTCTTTCTGTTCCTTCTATGCAGAGGAGTTGACAATATATAGTTTCCAATGATGCTTTTAAAAACTTTAATAAACCAGGGAAATGTGATGACATTTTGTTCAGATTGATTAGTTTTGTAAAATATCACATTCTCAAGATAAAAAAATTAAAAGTCATGGTTAAATATCATGATTGCATGTCAGTGTTGAGATTACTCTATAAGACAAGAGGCCCATGGGCCTTATAGGTCACCTGAGCATTATGCAACAATTTTCCAGTGATTGAATTTGATTCTTGTTTTAATCCAGATGCTATGGCATTCACAATTTTGAAATAGGCACCATTGATCATCATAACAATACACTTATCAGTTGCTTAGTTTGTTTACTTAATACAGTGTACCCATAGGCAGGGTAGGGGAACAAAAATGCATTTCAAGTAATCAGTAATATTCAGCATGATTAGTAATGCCCCAATCACACATGAATTCCTGACCCTTAGGCCTAGATCCACACATAGCACAATTTTTGAAAAGACACCCTTGCTTTTCAAAAATATTTGATAAATATCAAGGAGCAGATCTCAAACAATTCATCCAGTTTCAGTATATAAGTACAGTCCCCCCCCCTCCTTTATGGTACCCCTGACCCTGGGGCCTTAAAATTCACAATTCTGGAAGATTAGGACCCTTGCTCATCATAACTACATAGGTAGTTCATCTGCTTAATACCAAGGAGCAGAGAAGAAAACTTTCAAAGATTTAGTGTATTTTCACTGTATAATCAATAGAGCCCCACCCTATCACTAGAACCCCTGACCCTGGGGCCATAAAATTCACAATTTTGGTAGAGGCACTCTTGCTCATCATAACTATGCTCTTAGTTAGTTTATTTGATACCCAGAAGCAGAGAAGAAGATTTTCAAAGAATTCATGTATTTTCACTATATAATCTAAAGAGCCCCCCCCCTTACACCAGAACCCCTGACCCTGGGGCCAAAAAATTCACAATCTTGGTAGAGGCACTCCTGCTCACCATAACTATGCACTAATTTAGTTTATTTGATACCCAGGAGCAGAGAAGAAGATTTTCAAAGAATTCATATATTTTCACTATATAATCTATAGAGCCCCACCCTAACACCAGAACCCCTGACCCTGGGGCCATCGAATTCACAATTTTGGTACAAGCACTCTTGCTCATCATAACTATGCACTTAGTTAGTTAATTCAATACCCAGGAGCAGAGAAGATATTCAAAGAATTCATGTATTTTCACTATATAATCTAAAGAGCCCCACCCTTTCAACAGAACCCCTGACCCTGGGGCCATAAAATTCACAATTATGGTAGAGGCACTCTTGCTCATCATAACTATGCACTAAGTTAGTTTATTTAATACCCAGGAGCAGAGAAGAAGATTTTCAAAGAATTCATGAAATTTCACTATATACTTATTTAGTCCCACCCTATCACCAGAACCCCTGACCCCGCGGCCATGAATTTCACAATTTTGGTAGAGGACTCAATGCTGATTACAATCATGCAAACAGTTTGACTGCTTGATGTCTAGGAGTAAAGAAGAAGATTTTTAAAGATTGCACTAATTTTAGTGGTTTTTGCCCCACCCCATCCCCCTGGCCCCAGGGGGGCAGGGCCCATGAAATTCACAATTTTTGTTCCCCTTCACCCATAGATGCTATATGCTAAATTTGGTTGAAATTGGTTCAGAGGTTTCAGAGAAGAAGCTGAAAATGTTCAAATGTAAACGCACGACGAACGACGACGGACGAAAAGTGATAGCAATAGGATACCTGAGTTTACTCAGGTGACCTAAACATAGAGAAAACCAATTATATCGTATTAAATTAAAATACATTAACCTGACTGAAATCGGCAGAGCTACACGCTGCCTGTATATTTAAATTATATTTATCTTGTAATAATATACAATTATTGCATAATAGTGATAGAGACATGAAGATTCCCCGAGGGCAACACCCGAGGGAAATATGGTTTTTCAAGGGCAAAGAAATCTTCAAGTCTCCTGAACATTCATGCAATATTTTTTTTATTATACCGAATCATCACAATGCAGGATATATAAAGAAAATCCAATAAATGAAGTAAAAATTTGATGACATCAATATGAAACAGGTGTAAGTTACACCACTAACCGTGCTTCATATAAAAAATTCTTCGTGACAAATCATTTTGATTCATAGTTTGAAAAATGACTAGAGGTGCCTGAAATATAAATGAAAATATTTTCAAAATAGGGACCAATATGGGAAAAGAAGAATATTTGTCGATAAGGACACAGTTTCCCGAATTTTTCATACGTTTGCAGTGGATAATTCCTAAGGTTTCGGATTTCCTATACCGTATAAGTAGAAATTTTAGCGAGGATTTAATTTTGGCATTATTAGCGAGGGTGCTGACATCGCTAAAATTTAAAATCGCTAAATATTAATTGTGTATTATTTGTTATAGCTTCTTTAGTTAGCATTTTAAAATCGCTAAAATTACTTCTCGCTAAAAATAAAATACTAGATTTCTGGTAGAAATCGCTAAATTTGCGTCTCGCTAAAATTTCCACTTATACGGTATTTAGTGTGGGGTAATTGTGTCAAAAGAATTTGTTCCAGGGATTCTTCTGAAATTTATAATATCCATATCATCTTTTGGAATATGATGGTCACGTAACATGTACAAAATGTTTATTGAAGAGATACGTATATATACTTACTTTCGATACATCCATTGTTAATGACAATTTGGCGATTTCTATCAAATATTAAAGAATAATTAAACGGTAATTGATAAGTAATATGTAACCAGTGTCAAATAGTTGGATACTTATATTTTCAACCCTGTCTATGAGTTGGGATGGGGGCGGGGGTAGATGATGTTTCCGATTGAAATCAGTCTTTAAAGTGTCACTAGATTTTAAAAATATTCTTCGGTTCCATACAAATATCATCAATTTTTTCTTACACAATTTTGTTTAGGCTGCACAGAGGCTTAATAGGCATAAAAGTATATTTCTTTGAGCTGGATGTTAATTTCAATATATAATCTATACATTAAATCGCAGCTAACTAGTAATAGGAGTTTATTAGTATTAAATTGAAGCAATTTTGCAATGTCACATGACTTTGTTGTTCACGTGACGGACACTTATGAGAAAAATATGAAAAATCGAATCAGCATAAGAGCAAAACAAAATTTTTGTGAAAAGTTTGTTACATAAATCAAGTTACCGTGATCTTAGGTACATTTAGGTACATAGAAAAGAGCATTTTTACCGATAACCTTATTTTTTTTTCAAATTGACTGATTGTTTATTCATTTGACAACTACAATGTAATTGCTTTTTATTAATCTTGTGATATATTTTGTCACCTACGAACAACTCTATTTCAGCCATGAAAAATGTATTATTATTATTTATCGTTTGAACAAAATTTGAACGATTTCTAAATTTATGTTTATGCAGCAAATTAGCAATTCTATAGTAATTTCACAGTTGAATTAAAATCTTTAATATAAATAAAATTATATTTAGACAGATTTTTTTTAATTCAGTAATCTTAATTAAACATTTTAGTAAAAACGTAAAGGACAATTGAACATCTAACAATTAATAGTTATCACAATGAGAAAACAGGAACACATTTCAAAATGTTAAGAATTTTTTTTATTTTAAATAGTGAATAATCACTGATATACTAGTGAAAAAGCCAAAGATAACATCTTAAAATTCTGACATAAAGGTTACTGGAAGGAGACAGAAAGGACACTGAAGGACAACAAAAAAGATCACTTAAATGTTATTGTAAATCGCATAAAGGTCATTGAAAGATAACTGAAAGGTTCTCGCTGGATGGTACCTGAAAGGTACATGTATTGTGGATGAAAGGTCCCTTAAAAGTTCCTCTCGACTGAAAAGTCGCTTTAAGCCGCCTTTCAATTTTAACTGAAAGGTCGCGTCTCCCTTTACCTGTTTGTTTGCCTCTTGCTTCATTAAGCCTGATCAATGATAGAAAATCCAATAATTATAAAAGTTTTTTTTTTTAAAGAAGTCAAATATCACCCCCAATTTTAAAAATAAATACACTGTACATGACGTATATGAGGATAACAGACAGTATTCAATATCAATGTCCATAAAACAATACAAAAGGGAGCAGAAATAACATGGACCAAAACGGAGGTGGGATCAGGTGCCATGGAGGAGTGAGCATCCTTGCTGACCGGTCACACCCGCTGTGTGTTCCTTGTCATGATTAGTAAATAACGGAAAAATTTATCGTCGGTTCAGGTATAAATAATGGACTAGCAATAAGTTCAGGTATAAGTAATGGACTAGCAATAAGATTGAATATCATAATAATAAATCAGTCAGCATTTGAGTCAATGATAAATTATATATTTGCTGACAAGGTCATTGTATCGACCAAAGAACTTATACAAAATGATGGCTTTAAGCGCGACTGCTGATATTTTTGTTTCAGCAAACTTGTTTGTCAATAGTTTTCCTTGATTTAGAAATTGTTCTTTTAGAGCAAAAGAAAACATTTTATTTTACGTCTTGCTTTTATATCAATCTAACCACAATGGAAATCTTCATGACAGTATTTTTTTAAAAATCGTTCAACTTTTTTTTCTAAATGTTTGGTTATTTATTAAGAAACTAGTTGGAATGTACAGGGATATATCTGTGCAAGTAGCTTGGGCATTTTAGTACACTACTACTTAAGGTATTTACCTCGTCAGATTTTAGAAAAGTTCACGCATAACCTCGAGCTCTTACTTCAAAATTATTCTAATTCAATTCTTGAAAAGCGGGAGCGCAGTTATGTCCGTCCGTCTGTCTGTCTGTTACGCTTTGTGGTACTCACCTCTCATCTGCAACTCCTCTCATACCACTGAATGAAATTTAATAAAACTTTCACAGGATCGTAATTATATATTGCCATTGTGCACCTTGTATTTTATTTTTTAATCTGACATATATTTTGGGTTTCTCAGAAAAAAACATGGACACTGCCATTATATTCAGGGAGGCGGGGGTATCATTTAGTGAGCTCATTGCTCACAGTACCTTTTTAACTTTTATATCATTGAACTTTAGCCTCACATTCTTTTACTTGAAGACTTTTTTCCGTTAATTTAGGTCTCATTTCATATTTTTGAACATATCTTACAACTTCCCTAATCAAAGTTTCCTGAGAAATGAAGATCTGTTAAAGAAGTCAAGATAAAATGCTACTTTTTTGTTTCAAAATTGCATATTTTTACCAATATTTAAAAAGTAACATTACTGACCTCGACTCTTTCTTTCATTATTTTAAACTACTCGATACATGTGATTGATCAGCACTTTTTCAGTGAAAAATGATTACACAATAATTTTCGCGCGTTAATTTGAAATATTTGTTCAATAATGAATATAAAGTAATATCATATATTAATTGCTATGATTACATCTTGTAAAAATGATAAAGGTGAAAGTAATTGACCAAAGAAACAAAATTTGAGTGCAACAAAGTCAACTTAATTGAACCGTAGCTCAGAAAGATGCACACTGACCCCTTATTTTCTCTTCGATTTTTAGTTATACCCTATGAGTACTTATTCAAAATATACTTCTTAAAAAATCCTTGATTTAACAATTTCACATACCTTCAAGTAGTGATAGAAAGATTGAGTTTGTCTAATTTCCGAAAAATCATTTATTTATTTTATGTTGAAGGAATGAATGTAATACTAGTCAGTTATATACCGGTAATGTCAACTGTCCCAACCCAGGTTACACCAGGATAAATTGGGTATCTATTTAATATAATTATAATTAAACTTTAAATCATTAAGTGTAGAAAATTAAAAAAATTTACCTTCAGCAATGCCTTTGCGGATCGGTATATTTTATACATAGGTCATTGTGACGTAAGAATCACAGATTATCATTAAAATCTAATTTTTCCAATCAAAAGACTGTATTCGTTGTAGATATTTCAGATGTTCAACTTCATGTTGTTTTAACAACACTGTTCTCTGCCTTGAGTAATCCTTTCAATTAAGGACAGATGATAAAAAGTTTTGTCAAATAATTTAAAAATAAAAACTTGAATCATGTTTATGCAAGTAAAATGATCATTCAAAGTTTTACAAAAATGGGATTGTAAGCGACATTTTCTTTTATCTAAATAGATCATGAAAGACGGTTGGTGAAACGTACAGTTTTGCAATGTCTTAATGTATTAGAAATTCTTTATTATCGCCATTTTTGACAGAAATAGGCAAAACGGAATACACCAATCCAACATCAATTTTGTTGTTTGCATTATCTGTCCCTAATTCATAATTTATATATTAAATGTTTATTTATTTTATACAAAAAGTTCATAAATTCAACAATTAATTCATTATTTAAATAAGAATTTGAGGCATCCCAACAGCAATAGCTTTATCAGGCGATGAACACTCCTCATTCTTTGACATAGTTTTCATTGTTATATTAATATGTAAGAGTGTATTGTTTCCTAGTGTAATTCGTGGAATAAACCTGTCCTTGAAAAGTAACCTGTTCAGTTATAAATTAACAAATCATTTTTATCGATTGTACATTGCTCGATATTTTTTTACTCATATAGCGACGTCACCATTTACCGGTCAAGGGCTTCAAATTTAGACCTTAAGGCAGGGCCACTGAGCATTGAGGGATCTTTATCGTGACAACGCCTACCGTTACACGTGATTCGGTTTTTAAGGTCTAACACAAAAAACACTTTTACTTCAAAGTAATGAAGGCTTGGCGAAGAAACAATTGTAACCTATCTTTTTATCGACTTAGATCAGTCACGACCGTGCTTCAAACACACGACCTTGCGATCAAAGAGCGAGCACTTTACTGGGTTACTTTAGCGGTCAAAATCAATTTTGAAAAAAATTTATTGAAATATCTTTTTAAGTGTTATTCAGTACTATGATAAGAAACATTTTTCAAAAGGTGAAACGCAACATATCCTGATACTTTTTTTTTATATTTTGTTTATTAGTTCTTTTAAATTGCTTAGCCCAACAAATTCATTGATTTTGTTTTCATTACTGCTAACGTTATTAATATTTTTCAACACTTCTGTCGGTAAATCTTTCTCTACTCAAAATTCTGTTAGATTTACATCCAAATATTTAATGAATGATGGGTATTAAGTATTGAAAATCACATCCTATTACATGTCGAATACCAAAAGAAAAAATAGTTTTAAAAAAAATAAAGAAAAAGGTGTATTTAAATTTTTGTCTTTCTTTTACAGTTATAGAACTTCAAAATATGGTCGGTAAGTTTCATTACTTTACTTTGGTAAATTAAAGGACTTTTCTTTAGAAACAACATGTGAAAATTCCCGTGCATAAAAAGTGAGCACTTTATGGGCAGACATTTTCTTATATTTATTTGAAGTAGAATACATTCAAACTTCTGTACATAAAAATACGTAAAAAAAAATTCTGTATAAAACAAGAATATCATTCGTATTTTATAACGTCAACAGTTCGTAAATTCTAAAGTCAATCACCATTGGAGAGAATGCTGAGAATTCCAAATTTTACTGAAAATGTTTGATGATTACTGGTGCTTAACTGTATTTTTCTGATAAATACTGATGAAACAAAAATATCAGCAGATTTGTTTCAAGTCATCATTTCGTAATTTCCTTGGTCAATATAAAAACCTAGTTTTTCAGCAAATACATGTACAATACAAATGGCCGCAATGGATCTCTTTAGACAAAACGGCCTAAAGGCATCGATCATAGAACTTAGAAGTGGATAGATTGATTAATTGTATATTGGTTTTCGTCTTATTCGAGAATTTTTCACTAAAACAGATCTAGAGACGTCACTGTATTCCATACAAGGGCTTAAAATTTTGACCTATAGTCGGCACTCAGGGCCATTGATCAGTGAGGGTTCTTTATCGTACCAGCGCCTTCGGTGACACGGGACCTACGTTTTCAAAATCATAACCGAAAGACCCGTGCTTTTCACTTCTAATGCCTAGACCTTGTCGAAGGAAGAGTCACTATTTATTCTTACGTCTTAGGTTTGAAGCGGCACCGGGAACGAGAATAGAACCCGGACCTCTATTAAAAACAATCAGAGTGTCATTATGAATCTGTGTTGTAATTATACTATGCCATCGTATTCCATCAATCATTACTAATTGCAGGAAAAACAGAGAACATGTTACACAGTTACAAAGAAGAGATTGGAAATTTATTTGTCAGAACTCGAGCTGTGTCGAAGGCAATGGACTTACTGAAAACGAAAGGCTATGTATTTTTAAAGGGAAATCCAGGGGACGGAAAAACAACACTATCAAAACACATTTTAAATGAGCTACAAAGTAAGGAAGGGATGCGTCCACTCCAGATTTTTTCAGTAAAAACCCTCTATGAAACCATACCAACATGTTCTAATTTGGCGATTTTCCTAGACAATTTGTTTGGCGAAATAACCCTGGAAGACCAGGAGCTTCACGTTTATGAAAAGCAGCAGCATGTTATAAAAGAAACTGTCAACGATAATAATGTGAATGGAAATAAATTAATTGTAACAATAAGAAACGACATTTATAGCGAATGCTTGGGCATCATGAAAGAAAGTTCATTCTTCAATAACTCTTTTGTCGATTTATCAACAGGGGAATATTCTTTGAACCTGAAAGAACTTGAAACGTTTGTAACTAAATACAATCTTGAGCAATTCTTATCAGGCAACATACTCCAGGAAGTACTGAATTTGGGCAAATCTATTGGAATGCCTCAATGTTTAAAACTAATGAAAGAAAGCACCCGCATAGAAAATATAGAGAGTGTTTTCACGGATCCCTATAAACACCTTAATAAGGAAATTCGTAGAAGAATTGAAAAGGGTGAACCTAAAACTGCCGTTCTCGTCTACATTTTATTGCACGGAGGAAGAGTTAATAATGACTTAGTGAGGAATCCTGCACATGATAAAGAATTGAAATTGAAAGCTATGGAAATAGTAGATATAAAAAATAAAACCCTTTGGGAATTTCAAAACTGCATAGATCTCTACGAAGGTTCATTCATTGCTTTTGATACATTTAGTAGAGTGTATCGATTTACCCACAGTTGCATTCAGGAAAGTCTTTTCCTCTTCCTTTGTCAATATTATACAAAAACAATTATTCAGTGGTGTAGTCCTGACCTACTTGTAAATTTGACACTTCAAACACCAAATGGACAATTTAATGATTTTTTAGAAACCCCGTCCATAGAAGAAAACATGTTTCCTGTTATATACGAGAGATTTGTCAGCATCATTAGAAAAAAAAACATCTCACGAATACAAAGCTATTGCTATGTTTAAACTTTGGAAAAATGAAGACTTTTACAACAGGATGGTAGAAAACAGTGATTGTTTGACTGCATTTATTGAAGGTCTAGATGACCATGGACAGTCTATGCTAGTTCATTTTGCTGAGTTTGGTAATTTGCAATTGGTCAACCTACTTCTTCCATCATCCTCTGCTGAGCAGAAATATATCTCTTTAAACAAAGCAAGTGCTAAGGATCATTTAGAAGTGGTTGATTTTATTTTAAGAAAAGATTCCGTTTTTGATATGAAAACATGCTTCTTTGCTGTGCAAAGTGGTAATATTGAAATGGTTTTACGTTTCGCAAGAAAGATGCATCTAAAGCAGAGAGCCTTCTCAAATCATGCAAGATGGGCTAACATTCGTGGGGGTCTTTTGCACGAAGTAATTTTTTTTGGGCAGAATCATTTAATTCAACCACTTTTACAGGAGTTTCCTGATTTAGCTTCTGTTGTTAATAGTACAGGTGGCAGTGCTCTCCATTTTGTTGCTTTTGCTGGAGAAAAAGAAGTATTCACATTTTTAGTTCAGAATGGTTGTGACCCTTACTGCAGAACATCACATGGTACAACTGTTCTCCATTACGCATGTCAAAATGGCAAATTGAATATGGTTGAACATCTCTATGAGAAATACCACATCTTGTTTACATCAGAATATAATGATTTTGAAGGACAATCTTGTCAAAATTGGGCTGCACAATCTGGAAACCTTGAGTTATATGAATACCTGTTGAACAAAAATGTTAAATATAATGATGACTCAAACACACCACTGCATATGGCTTGTCAATCAGGGCAATATGAAATGTTCAAATATTTGCTAGAAAAACACCCAGAGGCACTCTCAATTAAAAACAGAGAAGGTTATGCAGTTCTTCATTATGTGGCAAATGGAGGAAACATTCAAATTCTCAAATTATTGTTGGAAAGAAATGTCCAAATTGATGAGTTAACAGACGACGATAAAACGGTCCTTCATGTTGCAAGCTCATTCAGACAGTTTGAACTCGTTCAATATTTAGTAAATGAACATTCTTTCCTTTTACATAAAAAAGATAAAAAGGGGGAAAGCGCGCTACATTGCGCAGCTTGGGGAGGAAACCTTGATCTATTTAAATATCTTATAGAAAAAGGTTTGAAAGTAAAGTGTAAAACAAGTAACGAACAAACTGTATTGCATATGTGTTGTAAAAATGGTAAAGTAGAGATCGTCAAATATTTGATGTACAATTATCCTGATCTATTTCCACTGAAAGATGAGGACGGGGTAACTGCTTTGCATGAAATGGCAAGATCTGGAGAATTTTCAGGATTCCGATTTTTATTTCAAAGTTGCAAAGAAGTAGATCCTTATATTAAGACAAAAAGTGGTAGATCTCTTTTACATTTCGCAAGCCAGGGTCAGGATAAAGATACAGTCAAGTTTTTATTAGAGTCATACCCACAACTACGATGTGAACGTAATGAAAATGAATATACAGTTTTACATGATTCGGTTATTGGTGGTAATGAGGAGATATTTCGATATTTAATTAGCAAAGGACTTGCAATTGGTGATGTTACTAAGGAAGGAAAATCTGTTCTTCACTTGGCGGTTGAATATGGACATATTGACTTGTGTAAGTTTATTGTTGAGCATGAACAAAACCTTTTAGATTTAGAAGATCGTGACGGTAACACTGTCCTACACACTGCCTGTGCAAAAAATCGAAAAGAAATATATGCCTTTTTAACAGATATTTTTTCTCGATTGCTGGATAGATAATTAGATACATTACGATGAAGATCTAGATCTCTGATATATACATCTGAAATTAAGTTAAGTTGAAGGTGAAAAGAAGTTTAAGGTGACAAATGAAAGATAACAAACATTTTTGCACTGGCTAACTTTGTAAATGTATCAAAAATGAATTTTCAAATGTTTTCATCCATTACTTTTTTGATCATCCGTTGTTAGATTATCTTTTTCTGAGATGTAGTACGTGTTTCATGTGTACCTTTTTATATGGCGTCAATATTGGTATTTAAAAGGTTCATAGAATTTAGCATAAATATGTTTGTATCTAAAAAAAAATCTTTTAATCTTATCAATTTATTGCAGAAAAGCATTTTTTTTTAAATTAAGGACATACGCAACGTTCCTTACATGCTGATAACTTTTCAAGATATTTTTAATTAAAGATTATAGTGTCATCA